CACAGATTTAGAAATAGTTGTCAAGATTCAACATGTGATTTAATATCTGTCTCTACGTTATCGTTTAGCTTTCGTGTAATCAGTCAGCTTCAGCTTCCACTTCTTAATGAGGCAAACGTCTCCTGTGGCTGAACTGTACCAGGAGCATGAGGATTCCTCAAGTGCAAGCCACCAAGACTTTCCCAGAAAGCATCAGAGTATTTTGAATCTTGCAGAGGCAAGCCCAACATAAGCCAGTGTTAATCCAATCCTGCTCCATCCATCCTGCCTTATCCCCTTTCCCTCATTCTCAGGGACCAGATGTGCTAAGAAAGAAAGAGGAAAGGTGCTAGAAATGAGGTGTGGAAGGACATACTTGCACTCAGAAATGGAGTTCTTTCCCCAGTCTTGTTCTCTTAGAAATCCTGGTGGGCATTTCTGTTCTGGGGGAAGTCGAGAAGATTGAATAGAAAGGGGGTTGCTTGGCTGGCTTGAGATGTTTCTCAGGTCAACTCACAGAAAGGGCAAGTGATGATAAAACCAAGGATGCATGTAATATGGGAAAGCATATGTGAAAAAGAAAATATTCAGAAACCAAGCTCTGAGGTATTGCAGAATTACTGAGTCAGAAAGCTCATTCTAACCGACATCTCCAACTTAATAGCCAAGCCAGCCTTGTCGAGCCATATATCAGACTCTGACACCTGTGTTCAATTTCTGTCCACACGGCTCCCCACCTCTACAATACATACGTGCCTCTTGGCTTTTCCTTTGGGCTGGGACACTTTAGGTAGGGAATTCCAGGGTCCTAGGCACCAAAGAGGGACAGGAACGGGTTGAAGTAGGCTCTGAATACCCAGCCCCTTGAGCCAGTTAGGGCTTCCACAGCAGGGCGCTGTTGTCCAGGGGAGGGCAGGGCTGCCCTTGACTCTGACTCTGAGTCTGAGTCTCCTCCTGAGTGAGGATGCCAGTGTCTTTCATCTCCACGTCTGCCGTCCCATTCCAGGTCACCCATACTTGGTGCATAGCCTGTCACTGGACCTGTCTCCATATCGCTCCCCTATAATCTACTTTCCTGTTAGCCCCCCAACAACCTTTTAAAACTATAAATCGGGTCATGTCACCACCTTGCTTAAAACCTCCTCACGCCTAGAATGAAACCTCAACTTCCCCCTCACAGACTCCTGGGGGGCAGCCGGAACAGGGAAGAGGAACGTGCATTTTCACAGCCTATCAGTGGGGTTAGCAGCATGGGCTTTGGCACCAGACAGCCTGGGCTCAGATCCTGTTTATCTACTTATTATTTCTATACATTCGAGCAAGTTCCCTGAACCTCTCTAAGCCTTATAGTTTCCTCATCTATAAACTGGCAGCGATTTTGTATGTACCTGCCTCATAGAGTTGTTGTCAGGACTCACTGGGATGGTTTCTATAAAGCACTCAGCACACTCATACTCAATAGTCGCTGATAACAATAATCAGAATAATGGAAACATGAACTAATTTAAAGCTAGGGTCAGAATCTGCAACTGTGAGTTTTCTGCACTTCCTTAGCTGATAAGTCATGTTATTAAATATGTCAGAAGTTTCCTTGTAGAGAACAAGCTACAGTTAACTAATGGAATAATGCAACTATGAATTTATAGTTAGAAATTATCCAAAATACCATGATAGGACTGTCTAAGGTATTACAATTCCAAGAGACACTTAGAGAGCTCTTATTTCATGAGGTTGCATGTCTGCTGAGATCTGCCCTCATTCTGAATTTAGGTTGAGAAAGAAGAGAAAAACAAACAGACCAAGCACTGAAGAACTTCTTATCATTTGCAAGCCCACCCCTATTCAATATGACTCCCACCTATAATATCCCTGACTTGCAGCTGTCCAGCCCCTCTAGAGGTGAGGCACCCCCGTTGCTCAGGGGAACCACTGCATTTTCAGGCAATGCCAGTTTTTGTAAGGAACAGCATATAAAACCAACACTTTCCTTCCTTTAGTGAATACCCAATAGTGTTTGTTTCACGCTCTGAAGCTCCTCAGATGTCATTTAAAATTTCTTCCTCATGATAACCTTTTATTTATTTTTTGTTAATTCTCACCAGAGGACATTTTTTCCATTGTTTTTCAGAGAGAGAGTGCAAAGGAGGGAGGAAGGAAAGGAGGGAAAAACTTCGATGTGAAAGAGACACATCGATTGGGTGCCTCCCGCACTTGCCCCGACCGGGGTAGGGGAGTGAACCCGCAACCCTGGTATGTGCCCTTGACTGGGAATCGAACCCGCAACCCTTCAGTGTGTGGGCCGAGGCTCTAACCACTGAACAAGGCTATCAGCCAGGGGGTGATAGCCTTTTAAATTGTGCAGACAGCTGCCTTGTTCCCCATTAAGCAGCCTCTCCTATAGGTTAAAGTTCCCAGGCCCTTCAATCCTTCCCCACAACACATGGTTCCTTTTCTAAGCATGCTGGTCTATGAATGTCCCTTTTGAAAGGGGCTCTCCAAAGTGTACACCATCCTCTAGGGGTGGTCTTGCTATACTGAACAGAGTTTCACCTCCCTCACTCTGGATATTACATTTTCATTAACAGAGTCGAAGATCCCATTAGCTTCCCTGGTTGATACATTTAGTTTCTTACTGTCAATAAAATCCCCATGCTTTTCATGCATACTTCCTCTAAGCCAGGGGTGAGGAATGTCTGGCCTATGGGCCATTTATGGCCAGTGAAATGATTTGGTTTGGCCCTGCCAAGGCAAACGCAGGCAGAACTCAAAATTCAATAAATGTAGGAGTTTTTTTCATAGCCACTTTTTAAGTTGGTAATTTTGTATGGCCTGTGAATGATGTTATAAATACACAAATGGCCCTTGGCAGAAAAAAGGTTCCCCACCCCTGCTCTGAGCCATGCCACCTATTAATATTTGTGTTTGGTCTTTTTTATCTACAAGCAGGACTTTACATGTGTTCCCTATCTATTTCATGTTGCTGGCATTGTTTTACTGTTCCAGCCTCTCCAGATGATTTTGAATTATGATTCTATCACCCATTAGTTAGTATGCAGTTTCATGTCACACAAGTATTGGATTACCAGGTCATCCATATCTTCACTCTAGTCACTGACAAAGCTGTTGAACAGGACCCTGCTATCTGCCATCCACACCTGCCTCCAGATGCATAGGGGCTCATTAACTACCACTTTTTATACTCATTCAACCAGGGTGGTAGACACACCCTAGGGCAACCCCCAGTGATGCATGCCCTTGTGTAATCCCTCCCCCTTGAATATGGGACCTATGACTTGCTTCTAATTGACAGAATATGGCAAAGGTGATGGGATGTCACTCCCTTGACCAGGTTTCATTATATAAGACTCCATCTGAGCAGACTGGAAGGAGACAGACTCTGTTGCTAGCTTTGAAGGAACTGTAATGTTTTGAGGTGGTCACATGGAATGTGAATGGCCTCTAGGAGCTGAGAGTGGTCTCTGGCTGACTGCCCAAAAAAACCCCAGGAACCTCAATCTTACAGTCCCAAGGAGATAAATTCTGCCAAGAACCTGAGGAGTATGGAAATGGATCTTTCCCCAGTCAAGCCTCGGATGAAACTGTAGCCCCTCAATGAGACTGCAGCCTGCTGAGACCCTAAGCAAAGGACCCACCTAACCAGACACCTACCCACAGAAACTGAGACAAGAAATGGGTGTTATAGCTGCCAAGTTTGTAGCAATTTGCTATGCAGCTCAGAAAACTAATACAGCCAATAAATCCACCTAACTGCTATAATCCAGCACCTATTTCTCCATCTTGTTCTTTTTTTTTTTTTTTTTTTTTT